CGGAAATGGCTGGGGTGGTGGGGTTTGGGTGCGACCACCAGTGTGCTGCAATGCCCGTGGGGACCGCTGGGATAGGAACCAAGCCACCCTAATGCCTACGTGGTGTGGGGCATCACGGGGGACTGTGGACTGCCCAGTGGGTGCTGGGGACCTGCTGCCCACCCCGGTTCGGACTCTGCCACCTCCGTGTCTTTGGGGTCTGCTGGTGCGTCGGGGGCTGCAAACGTGGCTGATTTGGGGCATGTAAAAATGTGATCGTGGAACAAATGAGCCTCTGCTGTAAGAGTCTGGCCTTTGTACGGCGGTGTCTGGGCATCTGAGCTCTCTTACCCCTGTCTCTGAACAGTGGCTGGCATTTCGTAAAGCCTTTACACTCAAAAAACGACCATGTTGGAGCCTACCTTCTCCAGAGGTCAGGAGGTGTTTAGGGATGTCAGTGATCAAACCTAAAGCTGTGGCTTGGGGGCTTCCGTCTAAATCGTAACTGAGATGAAAAAGACCCATTAGACCAGAGCCCACGCTTGTGTCGGGGTAGGGTACGTGCCCTGGTAGGGACCAAATCAGACATTGCCGTATTTAATCTTCACCGAAAGGCCGAGGCTAGCTCAGAGCTTTGTGGTGTGGGAGAAGCTAAGATGCTGTCTTATACTAGGATAAACCTGTTTCACCGAGCAAAGAAATGCTGTGCCGTCTTCTCCATCGCACGTATTTCGAGTATTTCGAGTGACTATGCTCGCTCTCACCGTATATTTATCACATCTCTTCCCTCGGCGCCTCACGTCCGGATCACCCCTCTGTGGTATGCGTTAGAAGTGCTTCGTTAGATGGACCGATCCAACCTATAGCTACAGCTCTCGTATGAAGGATGTACTGTCATAACATTGTGCAAAACATCTAGGAGATGTCACCGTCCATTTTCAGGGTCCGAGTATGGCAATAGTTTGTATAAAATGTACACATAGTGGTGGCTACAGAATAGTTTATGACTAAATACATATCTATTACTGTTAAAATAATGTATAAGAGTGTACTTGAAGCTATTATCCTTGTGCTCTGTTGTCTGAATAATTAAAGAAATTACAGAGACTTCCTGAAATGTCTGTTATGTGATGGCATTCCTATCGCACACTCTAAGCTCTGTGTTTTTTCCCCCAGTGACATTGAAACGGGGCATGGGGAGCCCGGAGCTCAGTCCTGTGGGATTTGGCATGGGACCCTTCAAACACGGCAGAAATTGTGTCCGTGTCGCTTCGTGTGATGGTGGCATCCTCCCTCTTCTTCCACCTAGACCCATGTAGACAGTCTATCATTTACCTGCGAAATACCGCGTGACTCTGCAAAGCCAACTCATTTGGCAGGGTTTTGTGGGGAGACAGAGATGCCCTGAAGGTCAGCCCATCAGCGGCTTGCCTGTCCTCCCCAGCCTCCCCCATCCAAGCCGACATGAGAAGTGACCCTAATGAGACTGAGGCTATTTTGTGTTTATCTAACCGGTCTTTCACGCAGTGCCCCAGTGCTCAGGCACCAGGTGAACCAACTGAAGGGAAGCTTGGATGCACCAGTAAAAGAGGATCACATCCATGGTGCAATTAAAATCCAAGCCAAGCACCGGAGTAAACCAGGTCTTTCACATCCAGGTAGCCGTGCCGTGCCACAGCCAGCAGCTCTTTGTGCCCTCACATATGAAAGTTTGCTTAGCTATATCTTTTTATGTATATATGCACATGTATGTATACATATATAATATTATTATCCCTATATTAAGAGCTCAGCATATCCTACCAGGCTATAAATGTGTTTATGTTGGCCCTCCCGAGCATTTCACATCACGCCGAGGTTGAGCAGGCGATGTAAATCAGCCCAGTTGGGTGATAATTGGGTAGCAGTTTTGCAACTCCAGTACAACATCTATTTCAATTACAGGGGGAAGGAAATCAGAAAGAGCGTTTTATTTTACTCATTACTGCAAGCCATAAGGGACCACTAGATTTCCTAAGCTTTTGAAATTCTCTCTTCAGCAGTTTCTGCCTTAAAACTAGTGCAAACTTTACCGAAAAAAAAAGGTCAATTTTCCATGTACAGAACATTTCAGAGCTTTCAGTGGAGCAGTGTTAATGCTATCCTTGGCCTACGCAGGCTGAAAAAAATAATCTTTAAAAAGTGCATCTTTACAAGCAATGGGATTGTCTCAGATTCTGACAGGAGCAGGATGAAGCCTGCAGACACTGCTTATGCTGAGATTGTTAAATATAATTTTTAACACTTTGCATTTGGGGTGTTTAGGTTTATGTATTTAAATAATTTTGGTTTTCAGGACTGAAAAGAAGCGAGCAAATCCAGGAAATATGAGTTTAATAATCCTGTTCTGGTTCCAGTAAAATCAAGAGCGGCATCCAGAGCTGATCTGGGTGCACAGGGAGCTGTGCTGTTACCTTAAAGCCCAGTGCAGGACCCTATATAACTTTTTTCTTTCCATTTTTAAGTGGGAGCAAGCCAGCTCTTTGGACAAATATTACTGCAAATCAGGAGTGAAACCACAAGGTCAGGAAATCTGTTTGGGGTAAAAATATTTGTTTTGATGTCCTGTGACCTAAATGTGAAATAAATATTAGATTTGCTCAGTTTGGTGTAAACAAATGTCCGTTCGTATTACCGGGGAGGAGAGGTGACAAGGGATGCTCTGTGTGGCGTGACCGCGGAGGGTCCCTTGGCCACCAAACTCGCATCTGGCTGCTGCCCAAGGGCAGGAGGGCTTGGATGTGGGCAGGGGAGCAGGGATCCTGTGGGAGCACCGTGTGCTTTGTGCGGCTCTGCCCAGCTCGCTCAGCTCCGGGGACGGCACAGGGACCCCTTCCTGACCCCATCGCTGGGGCAATGCTTGTCTGGACCAGCTCTCTGGGACACCACGATGTCTCCCATCGGGGATGTGCTCACAGGAAAAATATACTTGGGAACGTTGTATTGTTCCAAGTCTTGAGTCTTTTGATGGCATTCACTGCAAGGGAACGGATGATAAATCTGTATGCAATTACAGCAACATCCTTTTGGTATCATGACACACAGGCACTATGTCACAGACCTGTCATAGGGTTTCATTGGGTGGAGGAAGCTTATTTTACAAGCAGGGTACAGCTCAGGCTTTGGCTAGTTTGGAGCATTAAAATATTTCATGAGCTTTTTTCAAATAGTTTAGGCTGGAAGGGGCCTCTGGTGGCCCCAGGTCCAAGCCTGGCCCATAAGGCGCCGGCTTAGAGCAGGCTCCTGG